TTTGATGATTTGAAGATCTCCATTTCTTATCAATGAGCATTTCTTACTCTCTCTTCTCTTTATGCTTTCTTTAATTGCTTTGTTTATCATGTTTGAGTAGTTTTCCTTCTACTAGGTGTTGAGTGAAGCTTTGTAATGATTAATTGAGTTATTTGAGATAAATTTGATGATAATTGTGTGATTAAATTGATTGAATTGATGATGGCATGTTGTTTGTTTTAGATTGGATTGATCTCCCATGATAGCAAACTTAATTGCATATTGGTTCTAGTTTGACAAGGGATTGTGAATTAGAATTGATATATTTGATTGCATTTTGGGTAAATTTCTTCCATGCACCTAGTCAATGAGGGATCTAGGCTAGGAATTTAAGAGATTGCTCTTGAGTGTAATTCATTCCCATTTTAATTCTTTCTTTGCATGATTGATTATCAAATGGATTCTCATTAGCTTATTAATTGTTCAAAGTGGATCTTTGCCCCTAGTAGACTTTATTATACCTTGTTCTTTATATGTGTTTTAATGTAGTTGTAGTGTCCTCTATCCATAAACCGACTTCGGCGTAGCTTAAGCATTAGATCAAGAACAACCTAGCATTACCGTTCCTTGTGGTTCGACTCCGAACTTACCACTAGACTTGTTTAGGGGTTAGTTTTAGGATTTATAAATTTGTTTGATCGCTAGGAGGTTAGTTGACGACCTAATTTCCCCGCGTTCATATGCCAACAATGGTTCTTTTCCATAGGCACTGAGAAGATCGCTACTTGGGATTTTATTACACATGCTTTCATTGATAGATACAAATGTAATATTCAAGTAGAAACTAATCATTGGAAACTTGAAATTCTCAAACAAAAAGAGAATGAAGGTTTCACTGCTTATAGCAATAGGTGGAAGGAAACTTCCGTTAGGATGATTGAAGTTCCAAGTGAGAAGGAATCTGTAAGGATGTTCATTAAGAACATCCAAGAGAAATACAAAAAGCATTTGAAATATCAATGTAATTTAAATACTTTTAAAGCTGTCTATAATATAGGCATTGAAATTGAGGATGATCTTGCAAAACAGAAAGCTGCTAACCATATTAACAACAGTGGCTGGAAAGGAAAGAAGAACGATAATCCTTCTTCTTCCAATAACACCTACTCTAGTAACAATATGAGTACCTTTAATCTTAAGGATGTCTTATCCATGGATAATCAAGGATCCAAACGCAATTGAGAAAAGAGTTCACCCCTATTGGAATAAGCTATGACACCGCCTTCGATCGTCTCCATGCCAAGGGACTCATCATTCCCATTGGACCCATTCAAGATCCTGCACCTGAAAAGAGGTTACCCAGTTGGAATCCAAATGCACACGGTAGATACCATCAAGGTAGGGGTCATACTACCGAAAGTGGTTGGAAACTAAAGGAGACCATCCAATATTTGATTGATAATAACAAGCTTACCGTTCCTCCAGCCGGCAAGAAGACCGAGTGATGATAAGCACAAAGCACGAGACAGGCTTCAACTACAAGATTTCATGAATTCTTTCTTATTTTTTGATTTCCCTTTCCCCAATAAGTCTAGCATAGGCACCCTTCATCTTCCTTAGATTTAATTCATAAGTTTGATTTTTTTCTTCCCCATTTTCAATAAAATGAGCATTTATTTCTTTGCATATGATCATTACATTGCATTTCACTTAAAAAAAAATACATGTTGAACTAAACACAAGGTATACCAATGATTTGAGGCACCTCTTGTAGCCACATCATATCACCTTCACCCTTTCAATTACATGATCCTTTTTTGATAAAACACTTTGAGCCTCGTCTAACGATAAACCTTCATTTTTTCAACCCACATCTACCTAACCTTGGGATGGGATGGTGTGCAAATTATGCAATTTTCAAAGCCAAGTAAAAAGCTTGAGTGATTTTTACCAAAATTTCAAAAAGTTTAAAAAGCAATAAAAGTGTGTAAAAGGTCAAGTGTTCCAATGTCTTTGATATGAACACGTCTCAGATTGCATCTCATATCGAGTGCTCGGCACCGTGCTTGAGAAACATGAATGCCAAGTGAGTGATAGACCGCATGATCGAGATTGCCTTCAATTATTCAAAAGAAGATTCAAATATAAAATACAAATGCAAAAACAAAGAAAAAAAGAGTTTAAAAGTGAGAAACCTCAAGTATACAAATACCAAGACTCAAATGCAAGGTTGCACACCTTAGGAGGCTTATTTTGGGTCTTGAGCCTTTATCCTTTCTTCTTCAAACCTTTAGCCTAACCCCATTACAACCCTTGAAAGACCTCCTTGAGGTATGTATATACACACTTGTGCGAGGTTTGGCTATAGCTACATTCGGCCTGATTCCTATCGGATACGTAGGCAACCTCACATTGGGGTGCGACCATAATAAAAATGCATTCATTCATTTACATTCGTGCATAATCATATCGAGGAATCTCCAATGCTCATCCTTATCCGTTTAGAGCTAGACTTGGGGCTTGATCCCTTCTTCATTAGCCTACCCAGCCTAAGAGTCACCATCATTTGGCTCTTCTCACATTTTTTCCATATCCTTAGCCTTTGTAGCCTAACCTTAGTGTCACTTTCACACACATCACAAATACATAGCCAAATAATCCTTCCCTTAGGAACCCTTTGTCATGAAATCTTGATACAACCTTGAAGCACACCTTGTCATCTTCGAATCACTCATTATCATAATCATCATTGCATCACAAAGTATGAATTACTTAGCCTCCGCGCCTAAGTTATCCAAGTACTTTCATTATCGAATCATCAAACTTTGCACCATGAGATACAACATCAACATATACACTTGATTAAGCTCACTCAACATGCACCATTGCTTGATTCATTCTTTTCCTTTTGAGGAAGTTTAAAAAAACTTCATTTTCACCTATCTTCTACCTCTTTTCATTTTCACGTCTTTTTTTTTGGGAGAAAGTCAGTACCCTCCACAAAAATGACGAAATTTTTTTGCTTTTTCTGCATTTTTGAGTGCACGAGCACAATCACAATAAAATGCACACACAAGTCATGTACATTGAGTCATGTCATATCATCACATCGAGTTGAGTTTACACACACGAGTCGTACGCACGACATACACATCAAGTCATATCACATCGAGTTAAGTCTGCACACACGTGTCAAAACACATTGAATCGAGTTGATTTAAACACATTGAGTCACAAAATGAGTCAAGTATACCAAGCCTTGAGTCAACCTTAAGCCAATCAACCACAATGATTTGAGTACACCAAGTCCTATAGATGCGAGTACACTAAGTCCCTAGCGGACGAGTAACCTTTATAAGAGATTTGAGGCAATTTGATTGAGCAAAAAGGCACAAGCAACAGCAACAAAGCCGAACAAGCAGAATTAGTCTAACTTTGATTCCAGCGCAACACGACTGAAACAACATGGCGCATACACACTAACACGGCGCGACAGCACCATCGCCGTGCAATGAAACCTGACATGGCACGTCAGACTTGAATTCCTGCAAATTGATTTGCTGGACGACAATTATCTACACAAGCCTCGTGATGAGAAATCGATTCTTTCCAAAGCGGATGATTATGCATTTGAGCCTCTTAGTGAGCATTTGAGCCTTTTGAGCATCGCGATGAGCGATAAATGGTTTGATTTGATTAGTAGTCAGCCTGATTACAACTTGATTGATGATCGGCCTGATGACGATCATCTTATTGATTGATTGAGTACGCCTAAGCATTGGCTGAATACATTTGAGTATTGATTGAAAACGCGTAAGTATTGGCAAAGCATATTTGAGAACGCTTAAGCATTGGCTAAGCACATTTGAGTAACACCTAAGCATTGGTTGAGCACATTTTCAGTACACCTAAGCATTGGTTGAGCACATTTTCAGTACACCTAAGCATTGATGGAGTACATTGATTGAGTAGTGATTGAGCATAATCACAAAGAATTACTAAGATGGAAGATTTCTACGGAAATCAATGTGAAGCTCGGTAGGACCTTGAGAGATGAGGTTTTTACGGTAGATTTTCCAAAGATGGAGGAGATACCACTTCCAGGAGTGAAGGCGAGAAGATTTGAAGATGGCTAAGCATTGGGATCTTCGACAACATTCCCTAAGATGTGGAGGTTGTCTTTCTTTGACTTGAAGATGGCTAAGCATTATGATCTTCGACAACATTCCCTAAGTCTTGGGTTTCGTAGCATCCAACACTACGCGGAAGAGAAACCTGCCCAAGACCCGCCCACTAATTAAAATAACTAAACATGCAATCACATAATTAAACAACAAAAGAAAGAGAAAGGGAAATGACATTCTTACCCTCGACGCGTGCTTCGCTCCTATAGAGCTCGAACTTCAAAGCCTTAGCTCCGCAAGCGCGAGAGCCTCCGACGGAGTCCACCCTCGAGACCCGACCCAAACGGCCTCTCCCCCGAAGGTTAGTCGGGGCTAGACCAAGAAAAGACTATAGTATTACGAACTTAAAGGTTTTCTCACCTATAGGGAGATGCCTTATTGAGTTCGACTCAAGTGATTTTTCCCAAACCCAAAACTTGGGTATTTATAGGGAAGGGAGCCTTGATCTCCTCTTCTCCCATCAATGTGGGAGAATTGCATTTTTCCACCAATTTATTTTAATCTAAAACCCATTGGTATCCCTAAAACCAATGGGTTTCTTAGAAAACCTAAACTTAACACCATATGGGGTTATGAACATTTTACTTATCGGATCTATACGAGTCATCACCCAATACACCAACTACCTCGGTAATTGCATATCATATGAAAGATGTATTAGACCATCAAAACCCATCTCATACACCCAACATTTTCTCTTATCATCAAATTTCCCACAAATCCGACCAAATGACTTAATCCGGCAACTCATGTTGGGAGGTTGTAAAATTAAATTAATGATAAATACACAAGCCAACAAAAAAACACATTGCAACACTAAAACATTAAAAATCTTACCCTCCTACTCCCCTTTGAGTGTTCCTTCACAACCTCTGATCTAGCTTTGACACCTCCACCGTAAGTTAAACTATCATCCTAAAAAATTAACAACATTAGCAATACTTTATTTCGATTATCCGCAATCCTGCGCAAAATATTCATTTCACAAAAACATTACTACCTTAAAAATTCCCGGGTACAAGGTTATTGTGTTTCTCCTTGGCTTTCAATGCTTCTTGCAATCCCATGGAATAACAATATCTTAACAACACCACAGACAATAATAAGGAATAAATTTAATTGACTTTCTAATACTGATTGACTTACTAATACCCTTTTCTTCGATATATATCCCTCCTCTTTTACTGAGCCAACCTGCACGGTTTGAGCAAATGGATCTCATTTTTGTCCAATCTAGATTATACCACAAATAAGCTAAAGATGACACAGGGTGCTCACCTTATTTTTGTCATAAATTGCTCTTCTGCGCTTACACTTTACTTCATAAGACATTTAGAGGTTCCTGTACAACATTGTATCGAATTGTATGATAAAATAATAGTACTACACAAGCGTAAATGAGGATTTCTCCAGATGAACTGATTTCACAGCAACAACTCTCCAATATTCCGTTAATTATTGACATTTCAATTAATAATTCAAATTATTATTCCTGAATCCAGGTCCATTGAACATTTATATTAACGAAACAAACACTTCAAAGTTTGGTAAACAATGAACGGGGATTTCATACAAGCTAAATTAATTGTTTCAACTCATTTTTTCAGTAAGTCATTTCGAACAGCAGCTCAGTTCATTTCGATTTGAACTCAACAAGCTAAATTATTGTTTCAACTCATTTTTTCAGCAGCTCAGTTCATTTCGATTTGAACTCAGTTTTAGCCAATAATTACAGGCAAATTCATTTCGATTTCAATTCAATTTCTACTCAGTTCATTTCGATTTCAATTCAATTTCATGACGAAGGAAATGCAAATCGAACAATTCATAATTTCAAAAAACACGACAATCAATTCAAATCTACATAAAGGACTCACCTCCGTCAGTGTCGTCGACTCCACAATCTTCGGCAAACCACAAGCAAGTCGAACTTCAACCAGTAGCCAACTTCGACCAGCAACTCAGTTCAGCCCTATGTCATCTTTTTCCCCAATTTGATTTCTTTCCAATATTCAGACAAAAGTAATTCCAAATTCAAGAAACACGTGTAATTAACTCCGTCAAATAATTTGTTTAACCCATGTTGTCTAGCTGTTACGAAGTTTTCCACGTCAGAGTCCATATAATGTGTAAAACCAGGTAAAATGATGAGATTGCCCCCATGAGAAACGAACCTGGTTAATCATTAGGAGAAACAGAGAATTCGCCACGTATCGTAACCCACTTGTGGGAACGAAAAATTCAGGCGTTTCAACCTGCGGGTTACGATATTTCCGGGTGTTTTCCGACCACCTTCTTTCTCTATTTTTCGCTACCCATTAAACGTCTCTGTGAAGAGGTGGTAATTTTAATCCCGATTAAATTATTTTCAATTTTATGGTTAATTAAGGATTTCTTTACAGTTACATACTTGTATATGTGAAAAATCAGCAATTTAAGTTGTTTGCAAATGTCGGTCATATAAATAAAATTAGTGTATTGGACTGGTTGTGTGTCCAATGTATTTTGTGTATTACCAACTTTAGGAGAGAGTTCCTAAGCCACTTTTAATGGAGAAAACAGAGTAGCTGCTTCAATGGATTGTAGAAATAACCATAATTAGTTCCTTAATTAAAGGGACTAAATATTGACCAATTTATTCTGCAAATATTTAGGCTGTATTTTTGGTAGTAGTTGTTGTAACCTTGGTAGTAGTTGCCTAATTTACAGGATACTTCTGTGTATAAATATTTGTACTATCACCAGCAATAAACACACAGAAAATTGCAAACACAATTCTGCTTAATTCTCTATATGGTATCAGAGCCGTAAGGTTCGGATCTTCGGGAAACCGAAACCTAAATTAGCCTCATCATATACCGGAGACTTACCTTGAAATGGGGGAACCACCGGACAACAACAACAACAACCAACTGATTTCTATGGAACAGATGGAACAAATGTTCCAAATGTTCCAGAAATTAAACAAAAACCCAATAAACACTGAATCAGGGACATCACAAACTGTGCGTGTTGCTGAAAAATTGAATTTTACGAATTACACCAAATGGTGTAAATTGATGCAAATTGCAATTAGTGGCCGGGGAAGGCTCAATCACATCACTGCCAACCCCGTACCACCAGATGATCCGGAGTACGCACAGTGGGCACAAAGGGACTCATTGGTTCTGTCCTGGATCATCGAAAACATCGATGGAGATCTAGTGAACCAATTCCTAGATTATAAACATGCTCGAGATCTGTGGAAGGGCATTGAAACCCTACTCAGTAGTGGGAGGGACGAATTACAGACCTTTGATCTGAACACAAAGGCTGCATCTTTGAAGCAGGGAAGCGAAAACCTAGAGGTGTATTTCAGTAAACTGAATACCCTCTGGAAAGAAATTGATAGGAGAATGCCAAACCCAATGAAGTGCTCAGAAGATATTACCCTCTTTAATTCATTTATACAGAGGCAGAGATTATACCAATTTTTGGCTGGTGTTAACGACTCACTGGACAAAGAGAAGAGGGACTTACTGAATCAGGACCCTCTTCCATCAATTGACGCAGCATACGCATTCATTAGACGGGAAATTGCCCGTCGCGGGATAATGACCGGCGTTTCATCACCGGGACAAAATCCTTCAGAAATTGGAAGTGGGCTCGTTGCTAATCGCCGGTCGGAATCTTCATTCCGGCGAGAAGACAAATCCCACCTAAAGTGTACCCATTGTGGAGGAACGAAACACACCAAAAAGGGGTGCTTCGAAATTATCGGGTATCCGGAATGGTGGGAGGAATACACAAAGAAGAAGGCCGCCACCAAGGTCGGCGTGAACCAGACCGGCGGCAGGGCACATCTTGCCGTGAAATCGAGCCCAACCCCCAGTAGATCTGACAATGATGGTGGCGGAAAAAACTCAGGCAAGGAAGGTTGCGCAGAGAAGATCGCAAGCATGGAGGAAGCAGAAAGTACCACCGAGAATTATGGTGGTCAGGAAGGTAGAGAGCAGAAAATGGAAAGAGGGATTGAAAATGGGAAGGATGAGGCAAGGACGGTAGAAGACCTAACCCACAAAAAACCCACCCCCTCTCACCCTCTAACCGTCTCTCTTAAAACCCCAAGCCCACAAAATAAATTTAGCCCAATAAAACAAAAAATAGGAGCCCAAGTTGAAAATACTCAGCCCCCTAGCTTAAACCAAAAATCTTTTGGCCTCGTTTGTCATAGACCTATCCCGTGGATTTTTTATTGTGGAGCTACTGACACTATGACGTGTGACCCATTAGATATTAAAGCCACTCAAACCACCCATCGTAACCAAATTCAAACAGCAAACGGGGAATATATTCCTGTTTCCCAGGCTGGGACCATTGATGTTACCTCGGACATTCATTTAAATAATTGTCTTTTAATTCCCAGTCTCACTCATAAGCTTTTATCTGTGAGTCAGTTGACTAAAGAGCTTAATTGTACAGTCTTAATAATGGATTCTGGTTGTATTGTGCAGGATGCTCTAACAGGACGGATCATTGGGCGTGGTACTGAACGAGGGGGTTTGTACTATGTGGATGAGGTGGCTCAACAGGGTAACGCTTTGCTTGCTCATGGATCACCGGAAAACCAACTTTGGATGTGGCATCGTCGGCTAGGTCACCCCTCTCTTGGTTACCTTAAACGTTTATTTCCCTCATTTAAAAATATTGATGTAGCATTGAACTGTGAAGCATGTGTTTTAGCTAAGAGTCATAAACATACTTATCATCCTAGTTTAAGTCATGCCTCTGAACCTTTTGCTTTGATTCATTCCGATGTATGGGGCCCAGCGCCTGAATTTGCGTTCCATAACTATTCTTATTTTGTTTTATTTGTGGATGATTGTACTCGTATGAGTTGGGTTTATTTCTTAAAACATAAATCTGAAGTGTTTGATGTCTTTGTTAAATTTTATCATATGATATGCACTCAGTTTCATGCTCACCCACAAATTTTACGATCGGACAATGAAGGGAATATATAACCTTAGATATGGAACAATTCATTATTGACCATGGTCTGATTCACCAAACCACGTGTCCAGACACTCCCCAACAAAATGGGATTGCTGAACGGAAAAATCGAACCCTTCTTGAAATAACCAGAGCTATCATGTTAGAATCCCATGTCCCGGTCTATTTTTGGCCAGAAGCCATTGCTACATCCACCTATCTCACAAACCGACTTCCCAGTAAACCACTTGACTACAAAACACCTCTCGACACCTTATCCTCTCATGTCACCATCCCATCAGTCCATTCTTTACCTCCACGAGTCTTTGGGTGCGTTGTCTATGTTCATTTACCAAAACGGGCTCGAAATAAGCTCGAACCTAGGGCAGTTAAATGTGTCTTTATTGGGTATGGGGTTCATCAAAAAGGGTACCGTTGTTACGATCCAATTCAAAAAAGGGTCTACACCACCTTAGACTGTGAGTTCTTTGAACAAACTTACTATTACACCCCGCTAAGTCCTCAGGGGGAGAATTTGAGTGATGACCTTAGCTGGCTGACATATCCAGAAATGGTGGACCCAGATCCTACAACACAAGTAGGCAATACCACCGATGCTACCCCAGAAGAAGTAGTCTCACTTCCTCTTCGGTCTCCACCAAATCCGCCAAATGAGCATCCATCTGAAGAGGTACCATCTGAAAGCTCTCCTGTTTCCTATAATATGCCTGAAATTAATCCTGTCTCCAATGAAAGTGAACAAAACAGGTATGAGTTACCTCCTAGAAGTACGAGAGGAGTTCCACCAAGGAGATATGATCCTGAATATGAGGACCAACGGTCGAGATACCCAATCGAAAGAATCAGCACTGAAAATCTATCCAGCACAGCCATAGCTTTCAATGCCTCTTTATACTCCGCAGACATTCCAAAGAATGTGGAGGAAGCTGTCAAGAATGAAAAATGGAAGCAGGCTATGGAAGAAGAGTATCAGGCCCTACAGAAAAACAAGACTTGGGAGAAATGCATCTTACCAAAGGGGAAGAAGAAGGTGGGATGTAGATGGGTATTCTCCATCAAATACAGAGCAGATGGAACTATTGAGAGATACAAAGCACGGCTGGTTGCTAAGGGATACACTCAGACATATGGAATAGACTACTTAGAAACTTTCTCTCCTGTGGCCAAAATTGACACGATACGAGTTCTGGTTTCTGTAGCTGCAAACAAGGAATGGCCTTTGTACCAGTTTGATGTAAAAAATGCCTTCCTTCATGGAAGCATTGACGAGGAGGTGTATATGGAAGTACCTCCTGGATATTCTCATGATTTTAGAGATGGGGAAGGATGCAGATTGAGGAAGGCTCTCTACGGACTAAAACAGTCTCCTAAGGCGTGGTTCGGAAGATTCACAAAAGCTATGAAGAAGTTTGGATATAGGCAAAGTAATTCCGATCATACTTTATTCCTGAAGAAAGAAAAAGAGAAAATCACCTGTTTAATCATCTATGTAGATGACATGATTATTACAGGAAATGATGAGGAGGAGATTGCAGACTTAAAGGGAAAATTATTTCAGGAATTTGAGATGAAAGATTTGGGCAATCTCAAATACTTTCTTGGCATAGAGGTCTTGAGATCAAAGCAAGGGATCTTCATTCACCAGAGGAAATATATTCTTGACCTTCTGGCAGAAACAGGAATGCTTGGTTGCAAACCAGCTGAAACACCGATTGTGGCAAATCATGGCCTTCAAATTCTTGAAGGTGCAAAATTGACTAATAAGGAGGAGTATCAAAAGATTGTGGGGAAACTTATTTACTTAGCTCACACAAGACCAGACATAGCCTATGCAGTAGGGGTAGTGAGCAGATTCATGCATCTTCCACAAGTACAACACATGACAGCAGTAATGAGGATTTTGAGGTACCTAAAGGGTACAAGTAGTACTGGGATTTACTTTGACAAGAATGATCACCTAGATCTAATTGCGTACACGGACGCAGATTGGGCAGGAGATCGTGATGGTAGAAAATCCACCTCTGGATACTTCACCCTAGTAGGAGGTAATTTGGTCACCTGGAGAAGTAAGAAGCAGAAAGTAGTGGCTTTGTCAAGTGCAGAGGCAGAATTCAGAGGTATTGCAAAAGGGATAACTGAAATCTTATGGATCCGGAAACTTATGAGTGAAATTGGTTTTCCACAAAAAACAGCATGCAAACTCTTTTGTGATAACAAAGCAGCAATAAGTATCTCAGAAAATCCAGTTCAACACGACAGAACGAAGCATGTTGAGATAGACAGACACTTCATAAAAGACAAACTAGAAGATAAGATAATTAAACTTCCATTTGTGAGAT